AACACAGGGAATCCAGGATAGATAAACCCCTCAGGGCCAACAAGGAAAGTAGAGATACCAGGAGGATTAAGGGAGGGTGGGAGGCAGGGAGAAAGGGGGAATCGATCACAAGGATCAACCTATAACCTCCTCCCAGAGGGACGAGCAATGGAAAAATGGGTGAGGGATGACAGAGGATGATGTAAGATATGAAAATAGTAATCTATAACTCATCAAGGGTTTATCAGGGAGGGTGGGTAGGGGAGGGAGGGGGAAGAAATGGGGAGCTGATATCGGGCTCAAGTGGGAAGAGAATGCTTTGAAAATGATGATGGCGGCATATGTGCAAATGTGCTTGACACACTGGATGAATGTATGGATTGTGATAAGAGCTGTAAGAGCCCCCAATAAAAGTATTTAATTAAAAAAAGATGAAAAGATAAATATAGTATATTCATACAGCAATAACACATTTTAAGCTGGGTGAAAAAAGCAAGACAAAAAGAGTATATGTTTTATGATTCTATTTATAGAAAACATTTAAAGATAAAAGCGAATTCACAATGAAATCACCCAATAGTGATTCTCTATGGCTGTGGCAGTGGGAGACATGGGCAGGAAAGCAGTGTAAGAAAACTTCTTGAGGATTATGGATGTATTTTGATTGCTGTGTTTATGCATCTGCCAACAACCATCACATCATAATCTTTAAAGGAGTGTAAACAATACTTCAGGAAATTGCTTTTGGAAAACTGCAAAATTAAAAAAAAAAGTTTGCCGATCCCTGGGCTAGAGCGTGTTCACCATACTTGATCTTAGCCCAAAGGCTGAAGTCATGCAGCAACGGGAATTTTAGAGTTCAAGGAGCTGGGATTCATTTCTGCGATGGATGAAAAGAGCCAGGAAGAAGTGGAAGGAGAAAGGAGCTGGAAGAAGTCAGGAGTTATTGAAAGGATCGGAAATTTGTGAAATGAAACAAATAGAAAAAACGTCCCCTCAAATCAGGAAAAAAATGTATGAAGAGATTAAAAAGAGGGCGGAAAAAAATGCGTGTATATAAATAGCTGTATCTATATAGATACACATACATTCTGGAAAAGTGGATAGTTGATTCTACTGAGGAAAATTCAGAACAACTAGCGTAGAAGAAATAGGAAATGATAAACTAAAAGAAAACTTTTCCTGCACTGAAGAGAGGTCCAAATCCCTGGATGAAAGATTGATCAAGAAGTGTCCATTGGTACCGGGCATACCTTTAACAATGGATTCCTAATTAGACACATCCTGATGACACTCTGGAATTTCAAGACTGTGTGAAGAAACTGGAAGGAGTCCAAATGGCCAGGGGTGAGAGCGGCGATACCAGGAGGGAAGGGGAAGCTGGGTTGGAAAGGCGGAACCATCACAAGGATCTACATATAACCTCCTCCCTGGGGGACGAACTACAGAAAAGTGGGTGAAGAGAGACATTGGACAGTGTAAGACATGACAAAATAATAATACTTTAGAAATTATTAAGGGCTCATGAAGGAGGGGGGAGCGGGGAGGGAGGGGCAAAATGAGGAGCCCATATCAAGGGCTTAAGTAGAAAGCAAATGTTTTGAGAATGATGATGACAACAAATGTACAAATGTGCTTGACACAATGGATGTATGTATGGATTGTGATACGAGTTGTATGAGCCCCCAATAAAATGATTTAAAAAAAGGAGTCCAGATGGAAAAGTGAATTCCTTATTTGATAAAAAGAGAAATCAGATACAAAATTAAGTGCTAGAAAGCATTGACAGTACTTTTGGAAGCAAGTGGCTGGTATCCACATGAGCTCAGGAAAGGCCACTGCCAGTGAGCTGATTCCGACTCATAGTGACCGGATACGACAGAGTAGAGCTGCCCCCTTGAGGTTTCCAAGACTGTAAATCCTCTTGGGAGAAGACAGCCTCTTCTTTTTCCAGAGGAGCAGATGCTGGATTTGAACTGCTGACCTTGCGGTTAGCAGCTCAGTGCTGAACCCATGACATCCCACAGGTGCTATTCATATAAAATCATCCGTTTAGTTGACACAACAAAAGAGCTAAGCTATCTGCAGATGTGTCAGAGTTAGGGAGTCTACTGCCACAAAGATGAAACCTGGAAACGGTTTTTGATAACTTAATCCACTAATAAGCACACATCCCAATATGAAGTTAAAACTTGGAGGAATTAAAATTCGCCCGTTAGTATATCATACATAAGAAAGCAATGGCTACCTCATATATGTCTAATTTGTCTTTATGAAAATTCAAATTCACTGCCATGGAGTGTGGTCTAACTCTTAGAGTAAAACTGCCCCAGTGGATTTCAGAGGCTGTACCTGTCTCATCTCTCTCATGAGGCTGGAGCAGCTAGCTGGTGGTCTCAAACTGCCGACCTTGCTGTTAGCAGCCCAGCGTGTAACCACTACTTACCAGAGCTCCAATTGTGTAACTAGAAAATATGAGTTCAGGAAAAAATGTAATGCTACAGGTAGAAGCAAATTTCACTGGAGAAAGTAAGAATGGAGGTGCTCTATCCTGCTATCTTTAGGGAAAGGTAAAGCACAGAAAAGTAGACTGCACAGGCAGGACAAGGATGAGGGAGGAAGCGATTAACGCCTTTGAGAAGTAGAACATGTAAAACAAGACAGAAGAAATAAAGCCAAACACGGATGACAAAAAATGTCAATAGGTTAAATGCAATACATTTCAAATTGGATTGAAAAGCAAAACCCAACTGCTTCCTTTTTCAAGAGGCCTCTTCATGCCAAATGACCTAGAAAATTTCAACATAAAGCTTGGGAGTTTTTCTTTTAATCAGGCAAACACAATTAACAAGAAAACGGGATCGGTGAAATGAATATCCGGTAACATGGAATTGGAGGTAAAACGTTTAAATGGAAAACATTGTGTAATTTATTCATGGATAAAAGTTATAAGCCACCAAGGCAGAATAAAGCTTTGTCAACTGGATAGGAAAATCAAGGAATAGAGCAAAAGCTTAGATATTCTAGGGGGGAAAAAAAAGAATGCGAATACTATCACATTACATCAAAGATACTGTGCGTTTCAGCAAAACCAAAATGCCCCTATCTCTTTGACGTGAAAAACAAAGACTAAACCAAAGTCAAGTCATTCTCCTAAATCCCTATCGACTATTAGAACAGAAATACAACAAAGACCGGCTCCAACCACTGTCATCAGGTGGATTCTTACTCATAGCAAGCCTACTGAGCGTTCTGAGGCTGTAAGTCTTTATGGCAGCAGGCAGACTCATCTCTCCCACGAAACAGCTGGTGGTTTTGAACCACCAACCTTGCAGTTAGCCGCCTCGCGCCTAATCCACAGTGCCACCAGAGCACCTTTAACAAGAAAAGAAACAGTTCCCAAATATATGGGATGTGGCCAAAAGGGAGACACATTTTGTACCTTAATTATAAGACCTTCATCACATAGAAACATGAATTCTTCCAACACCGAGGCATAAAGTAAACACAATTCTCAGCAAAATTTGATTTTCAAAAACCTGGATAAAATAAGTTTAGAATTCATATTGAAGAATGAGTGTTTGAAAACGGACAACAATGATACAAAATGATGAATAGTAAGGGGCGGGACTTGTATTGAACATGCTAAGATTGAGTATCAAGCCGCTATCCGGTCAAATAGAATGGCTTTGTTGTTGACTCAACAGAAAGAAAGAGCCACCAGGAGGTTCCAGTGTGCACAGGAACGAATGTCAAACCCACTGTCCTGCAGTCCTTTCAGACTCATCGCGACCCTCGGCGACAAAGTAAGAACTACCCCTTTGACTTTCTGAGACCCTGGATCCCGTCAGCCTCATTTTTCTCCCAGGGACTGGTTGGTGGGTTGGAGCAACCAACCTAGAGGTGTGCACTTCAGTGGTTTCCCCATAGCATCACCACGGTGGGTGTCCCTTCAAGAACTTAGCATAGAGCCAAGGTGGGGAATGATGGCGTAATCTAAGTACCTGGGCTGCCAAGGGCCGTGTGGGCACAGTGAACAAATTGGATGTGTTTGGAAGAGTCCTATTCAAAGGTCCCTGAGTCGCAAATGATGGCCAGAAAGATTGGTGGTGTGAGGACATCTAGTGGCCGCCAGGAGGAAAGGCCCGGCCGTCTGCTCCTGTCCATAGCACAGCGTGGCGCAGGAGCTCCAGGTGAGCCAAGATCAACTCCATGGCAAAGGGTTTTGGAAAATTCTCAAGTAGGATGGGGCTCTGGAGAAGAGAAGGCTCGCTAAGACAGAATGATAGGATAGCCAGGAAACAGGAATGGGACGATGAAAAACAAAAACGTGGAAAACCCCAAACCAAGCACCCAAACAACCCCAAAGCTAAACAGCAGCAAGGACCCACGGTAAATGCCGCTCCACAACCGCGCTTGCGTGGCTGCGATAGGAACTCCTGGGGGCATGTGGGGGTCGCGGCCTCAGGTACAGCAGGTGCCCATCAGGTTGGCTGGGGGCCGGGTTCCCAGAGGGCACTGGGCCGGGACCAGCTGACCTCAGTCCCTCCCTTGGCACACGCAAGGCCTGTCACGGCGCCAGGACGGTCGCCACGCCGCCCCCAGGCCCGCTGCGCCCCTACCCGATGGCGTGCCGGGCGGCGTCGGGGTCCGAGGCCAGCACGGAGCCAACCAACGGCTTCTTCAGGTTCTCATGCAGCTGGAAGTGGTAGAAGGGCTTCTGGAAGACCGGGGGCTCGTCCACGTCGGTGACGTTGATGACGACGCGGGCGATGTTTTTGGTGGGGTGGATGTTCAGGTAGTGGAGGTTGATGGTGGGGTCGGTGGCCTCGATGGTGAAGCTGTACTGCCGGATGCGCTCGTAGTCGAGGGGCTGTGGGAGGGAAGCTCGGTGAGCCCTCCCATGAGCGCCCTGCCGGCCCCGCACCCCCCCTCCAGGGAGCTGGGCTCTGGGCAGACGCCCAGGTCGCCCCTGCCCAAAGCCCAGAGCCCTGGACCCCCCGTGGTGGGCGTGGCGGCCACAGGCTTCTGACCTTCACGGGCTTGATGATGCCCTCGTTGCGGGAGGGGTCCGTTTC